ACATCACTACATGAAATAGGGATGGCTGTGTTCCAATAAAACTTTATTTATAGACATCGAAATTTGAATTTCACATCATTTTCATGTCTCATCTTTGGTTTTTTTCCCAACCACTTAAAAATGTAAAAGCTATTCTTGGCTCATAGATGCAGAACTAGCAACAGGCCTTGAGTTGACTCTGAAAAGGTGCATCCTAACACCATTTTAAGTAAATGGAAAACTCACAGCGAAACTCCAACACACAGGGGAATATGTCTTCCCTGTTCCCTTCCTGGGCACCAAACAGAACCTCATGATAAATGTACGTTCTTTGAAGTTACATTTATCTTCTTACTCATTGATGCTGCAAGCATTTATGCACCTGGAAGGTATACAACAGGACAGGGGACACAGAGATGAACAAGATACCACCCTGTTCCCCAGGAGCACGTATCAGAGCTGGGGAAACAGACATCAACAAATCATCATGAGACAACGTGGAAAGCCCTTACAATAGAGCCGTGTTCCAGTACAATGGGGGCATAGTGAAGGGAGGGAGGAGTTAGTTCTGAAAGGGCGAGGTGGGTAGGGTGGGGGTTGTAGACAAGGATACACAAAAGAGTTAGTGTTGAGGCCAAACTTGACAGCAGAAGAGTGAAGGGGGGTCATTCTCAGCAGAAGGGCCTGCCTGTGCAAGTCAGAAAGGTGCAAGCCCGTCTTGGAATCAGTAAGTTCCCCCCAACCCCACACCCCCAAGTATGGCTAGAGTGTGGGATGGGGGTGGGGGGTAGAGGGAGAAAGAAAGGGTGGATTCAGATGGTGGTCCACACCAAAGTGTCCGGATTTTGCTTGCTAAGCCATTGAAGTGTCATTAGGGGTTTTTAAACATGCTAATAATATGATCGGCTCTTTATTCTAGGAATTAAACATGTAGTGATCAATGTGGAAGATAGATGACAGCAGGGAGTTAGGCAAAGACACTAAAAAGAAATCATTAGAATAGACCAGACCAAGAGATTCAGGGGCCTGACCTCACCATTGATGGCTGTTATAACTCAAGCTGGTGGGGCCCTGTGTGAGGCACTCAACCTCTCTGAGCGACAGCTCTGCCCTCTCTATGAGTGACTGGATTAGGTGATTTCCAAAGTCACTTCCTGCCCTCACATGCTCTTCACTCTTTGCCCTTCACTCTTAGAGAGCAGTCACATGGGTTCCTTCCAAGTTGTCAACAGAAATATTTCTTCCTTTTAGCTTCCTCTTGATTTTTTGCTGTATTTATGCCAGTGCCCAGTCGCAGCTGGAAAATCATTAGAATGGCATCCGGTGCCATTTCCCTGACTCCTGCCTGCACGAGCATCGGGAAGGAAGAGTGCTTGGTCGAGGAGCAAGCAGGTGGCAAGGATGACAGGCGGGGATGCCCGCCAGAGTGCTGGCAAGTGCAGGAGGTAGAGCCGGAGCCCCAGAGTTCTAGCCAATTTTAGGAGGGTCTCTATGGGAATACTAGGGCTGCTGCATAAATCAATTACATAGCCCAGTTTAAATATCATTTTTGCATCGGATAGTAATAAATGAGGAAGGGAATTGTTTCCGTATTCACTGGACAATTTGTGTTTCCCTGAAGAGTTTTGAGGGAAACCTACTAAATGACATGAATAAAGTAACAACTATCTGCATTATTTAAGCTGCATTAAGACAGCCTGCTGTCCTTGAGTGTTTAACAAAACAGAGAGAAATAGATTACTCCCTGCTCGAAACACCGCAGAGGCTTCATGTCACACTCAGGAAAAAATCCAAGCTCCCTACCACCTACCTCTCTGAGCTCATCCTCTCCATCCAGCCCTGTGTACACCACGCTAAGCACACCGGACAGCTTGCTGCTCTCAGACACACTAAGCTCATGCCTACTGCGGGCCCTTTCCCTGGGTCACTTCTGTCCCGAATGCTCATCCCTCAGATCTCTGAGTGGCTGGATCCCTCAAATTCTTCAGATTTCTGCTTAAATATCATCTCCTCAGAGGAGCTTCCCTGACCACTTTATCTAAAATAATACACATCCTGTCCCACCCGAGTCTGTTTTCCTCCAGCCATTTTCCCTGCTTAATTTTTCTTCATAGCATGTATCACTGCAAATCATATTATATATTCATTTAATTATTTTCCTCAACTCTCACTAGACAGTAAGCTCCATGAAGATGGGAACTTTGTCTGAGCTATTGCTGTATCCTCCCCTCCTAGAAAGGTACCTGGCACATGCTAGGTGCTCTAGTGATAATAGTTCAGTGACAAAGCTGCCCTATGAAAGAATGGCACATGGAGGAGGGGGTTCCTCCAACTTTTTCTCAATGCCTACCACACTTATCAACAGTAGTCTAGTAGTAAAACTAGCTATAATTAATACAATAATTAAATAATAATCTACAGTAGAATATAACACTAATGTCATATAAAATATTAACAAAATAATATATCATAAATTTGATATTAATATTAAAATAATAACTAATAGCAGTAATAAGAATAAGCAACCATTTACAGTCTTATAATGTAACAAGTACTACTAAATTCTATCCACATTATCTTATTTAATCCTCATTATGAGGCTAGCAGGTATTATTATTTTCTCTGTTTCATAGTGAAGGACATCAAAATTAAGAAGTTCAACTGGCCAGGCACAGTGGCTCATGTCTGGAATTCCAGCACTTTGGGAGTCTGAGGCGGGTGGACCACCTGAGGTCAGGAGTTTGAGACCATCCTGGCCAACCTGGTGAAACCCAGTCTCTACTAAAAGTACAAAAAATTAGCCAGGCGTGGTGGCGGACACATGTAATCCCAGCTACTTGGGAGACTGAGGCAGGAGAATTGCTTGAACCCGAGACGCAGAGGTTGCAGTGAGCCGATACTGCACCACTGCACTCCAGCCTAGGCAACAAGAACGAAACTTTGTCTTAAAAAAAAAAAAATTAAAAATGTTTTGAGGTTCCAGCACAGGTTTACCTGATTCCAACATCCTTGTGCTTTCCTTTATGCAACTCACTATATACTGACCCAAACCTTCTTGAAATGAACGTCGGGACATGTGTCTTAATTACCTTACAGGACAGAAACAGGAAAGCAGGAGGGCCACTTATTGGGAACTAAGCCTTCTAGCTAGAGAATGAAATTACAAAAACCGGCAGCACAGACTTTTGGAAACTGTTTGAAAACATTAAAATAGAATAGGACAGCACTCATTTACTCAACGATACTCATCAAACAAAACAGAAAGAGGATTCAGCTTGACCACTTAGGAAGCCAAAGGAATGTTATCTAGATCTCTTGGAGGCCACCAGACTCATCTTACAGATGGGAAGGGCTTTGGAATCATTGTCCTCCTTTATCCAGGCAGACACCAAAAACGATTTCCTGCAAACTAACGACTCTCCAGTCAGTCTGCAGGATTCTTAGGGAGATCTTTACAATGCAATATGCTGCATGCTTAATATGTGTTCAGAAAGGCCTTGCACAATTGCTCAGGCTTATTTTTGCTCTAAGGACAAAAGAGGAAAAGTAAGGCCTAAGACAGGTTGAAACAGGTATGTCAACCTCATTAGGATGGCCTGGGGGGTCACGTCCCTGGAATCGGTGCCACTTTGAACTGCAAACGAACCTGCCAACCCTGCATCTGGAAACCACTTTTGTAGGACAGCTGCTCTCTCATTCCTTTTGCTTAGATCATAAAAGTAGAGTTTTCATCCATTGGGAATTTGTGTGTTACAGGCAAAGGGAATCAGATTCTGATCCAACTTGGTCAGGAAAAAAATAACAATAATAATAAGGGCTGATTTTTCCATCCAAGTCATGTAGTCTGGTTGGAGTGCATCCCACTCGGGGACAGCTATTGTCTGGATTCACCAAGTCTCAGTCTTGCCCAGGAAAAAGGAATTTTTTGCCTCACTGCTCTATCCTTGAGAAGAGTTGCAGAAGGTGACCATTTCTGTTTTCTGGATGATTCTCTTTCTCTATAGAAATCCTAAAGTGGAACCTTTATAGAAATTATGTTCTGTGCTTCACTGGACAGAGACTGGTCTTTTAAACCAGGCTCATCAAACAGTGGGCATTTTCGTTTCCCTGAATAATAAGTGTTGGTGGGTTAATGGGTCATCCTCAGGACAGAGGTCAGAAGGAAAAACACTGCAGTGTTCAAAGCTGGAGCTAGAAATGCCAGCCGTCAAAAAACACAGAACTCAGTGGACGGTGATGATGTATAGGGCGTGCACTGGCCAACCCCATCTGAGAGGTCACATCTAACCTTTATCCTCAGCAAAGCCACTGAAGGTCGCTCAATATGTGTGACCTGCAACTCTGAGGCCCTGGTGAGAAGCTGTCCAGGAAAACGCTGGTGCGTGTGCTAGAGGGTTCCTTTTCACTAAGGGAGAATTGTCTTCCAGCTCCTTGTAGACTGACATCGCGAAGTACTTTGAACGTTGAAAAGAACAAAAAAAGCAAACAGTCACACACACACAAAAAGGAGGCGGGAGGAGGGGGAAAGAAAAAGGGACAGAGAGAGAGAGAGAGAGAGAGAGGTATCAGCAGGGGTGGTTAGTAAAAAGGGGCCCGGAGACAGAAAACCTTTTGTTCCGGGAGTTCGTTTCATGTAGAGATTGTGAGGTGAATGGCTTTGAAACGAAATGGTTTATGAAGGAGTTGCTAGATCACAGGAAGCGCGACTGTCAGACTGCTTTTGTGAATTCAGTTTCTTTAAAATTTGGGTTAATCTTAAAAAGAATGTATCTCCTTTTCCTGTTCTTTCTCTTTCTGTCTTCTCCTTTGGCGGGGGCGGGGGGACAGAGTAAGGTTCAAGACGGCTCCCCACTTTCTGTTTTATTTTCCACCCTCTGATAAAGCAAAAAGAAGAGATCACATTACAAGTTCTTTGTCAGTTTTTCAGAATTAGGGGTGGGCAGGGCCTGAGCATTACCTTGTCCCACTAGCCAATGGCGGGGCGGCATGCAAATGAGGTCCGCGATCAGCCTGCCTCAGTCACAACAGTGAGCTCAGAGACTTTGGGGAGGCGCTGCGACTGACAAGCGGCGCTGCCCGGGACCTTCTCGATTTCCTCTAGCGCTGCACTCAATGGAGGGGCGGGCACCGCAGTGCTTAATGCTGTCTAACTAGTACAGGAAAACGGCTCAACTCAACGCCGCCGAAATGAAGTATAAGGTAAGAGAGTGCCTTTTACAGGTTTCCTTGCAAGCTGAAGGCTGTGCCTGCGGGTGTGTGCGTGTGTGTGCGTGTTCCCTACTGTGACAGTTCCTTGTGCGTCCGGAGAGTTCTAAGATGAGTCTGGGTCACTGAGGTTGGCATGTAAGCAGGCAAGCAAAGACCCACTCCAGGGGTTCACAGTACTCCCGAGTCCAGCTGCTCTGAAAGTTGCCGGGGAAATACCTCGGTGAGAAGTTAAGACTTGGAGCCGCTTCACAGCAGCCACTGGAGACCAGAGGGTGTCTGACTTGAATCGCGGCAGGCATTGGCTCAAGTCTCCTCGGCTTCCCCAGGCCTGGCTTCCACTGCCCTGGGGAGCAGTAATAAGGGAGGAATGAGGACTGCATAGTCTCTCTCAGACTGGCTCTTAGTGCAAAGTTTTCCAGCCTTTCCTTTAATCCTTTGGTCTTGGAAGGAGCATGCCATATGCACTTTTGGTGGGAGAAATTAAAAGCCCAGATTACACAGCTGAGGATGGAAAGGGTTGACATCCTTATGTGTTATTGGATGTAGGAATAAATAAGTATGAGCCAATTCTTGAAAACATTTTTATTGGAGTTTGAATGGGGTGAGAGTGTGACGGCTCAGGCTGGCTCACTGTGCCTGAAAGCTTACCGAGTGTCATAGTCATAGTACTTCAGCAGCGTTATTTTCCAGTGCATTTTACACCATTGTTTGTGTATTTTTCTTGCCAAAAGGATTTTTGACTTGCTCCATATATTCCCCCCTCCCTTTTTTTTTTAAGTCACTCCCATCTAAGGAGGCAAGCAGCTTCCAGGGGACACAAAGAAAGCTGACTGCAATGAATTGGGCATGGATTTTTCTTGAATGATGAATAGATATGAGTGCTAGTGCTACTATTTTATTTTATGCTATTTTAAACAAAAGTGTTATTATTAAGATGGATTTGGGCAAGGGTGCTAGGCTTTTGGATTGACAATTTGTATTAACTGTACACTAGCTGGAAGCTACTTCGCTTTTTTTCTAAATTTTTCTGGTCCATCCTTTTTTGATGTAAGGTTGTAAATACTTGGTCTAGCCGATAGCCACTGACTAGCCTTAATAATAAAGCTTTTGTTCAAAAACTGTGAATCTTTTTCAAAAGCTTTAAATCTAAATGTCGAGAGTCTTTATTGTAATGCCTACATTACCACTGTCTGAAGACACAGGTAGCAGCTATTTCTGTTTTATCAGCTATTATCTTCTTCAGTAGGGAAGATCAGAGGAAAGGGTCATCCTGAAGACTATTAATATTGACTTTAGGATGCAACCAGAAACAAATCCCTCTATCTGGCAGGAAAGTTATCTTTCTTAAAGTGGGTCGCCCCATATTTCCTTATTTAGAACAATGATAGGACCAGATATTACTCAGCCTGGAGTGACTTTTTTGCTCCTCCTTTCCTTGTTGTTGAATAAGAACTGGCTTGCAGAATAAAAGAGAAAGTATGTTCATGTGTCTATTATTGGAAAGTATAAATGGCTGAAATTAACATTGAGTGCCGTAATCTAGAAAGTGACGAAAGTGACAAAGTCTCAAGTCACTTTTGTTCAATGATCTCATCGTGTTTAGCTTTACTCTTTATGGAAAGAAAATCTAAAGGCAACCGATAAAGTGACTGACAATGTAAACTGCAATTGGCATTCATGGAGAAACCTGCTTCTCCACTGGGCCTTACTGGTGCTGAACACTATGCCAAATGATGTAAACACACGATTTTTATTAGCCTGTGGGCAACTTCACCAGCAAAGAAGCTAACTTCTCTGATCGGACAAATGACTTACGCCCTATGATGACTACTCAATCAACCAACAACTGAAGAAATCCACTTTCCTTTTTTATAAAGTTTTCTTTCTCTCTCTTTAATAATGAACAGCTTTACTTCAGGAAAGGATTTTGTTATTGTAAGTAGAGGAGAGACACAAAGGTAATGACGTAACATTAATTGAGACTTACTGTGACAATACAAGATTGTCATATTCAACTCTCCCAATAGCTCTATGAGGTGGATATTATTTTTATACTCAATTTCAAATGACACAGAGAGGCTAAGTAATTTATCTAATGCCACACAGCTAGAAAGTGGTGAGCTGGGATTAGAACTAAGGCGATCTGGCTCCAGAACTCATGACTTGAACCACTATTAAGAGAAAGAACCATCGTTGACCTCTCTAAAATATGGCTAGTGTTTTCTTTTCCCAGAAAGTTTAAGACTATTTCATCCCAAGTATTCCTGCAGGATAATTTCTTTTTAAGAGAGTAGCTCTACAAAGTAAAATGAAATGCACGCTTGGCAGGTATTTGTTTAACTTGAGCCACTTAGGTAGTAAAACCAGATAATTATTAGATTGTAAAATCCCGGAGACAAGAATTATCTTTAAAATACTACGTTGCTCTATGCACTGTAAATTTAGCACAGATCTTAAAATGTTCACTGAAAGACTTATGAAACAGGCCCTATAAGATTTTTTGTCGTTGTTAACCTGATTATCTGGTTTGGCTGCCCCAGGGATCACAACTTCAGAACAACAAACCTTCACTTATTTTGCACTTAACATACACAGCTTCAGGCCAGGCAGCAGCATACTTGCAACAATCCTGAGAACTGTGGAACGTAAGCTATTACTCCGGACAGACATTTCTGGTTAGTACATATCTAGTCTGTCTTTATTTCCCTATATGTTTTTTATTTGTCCACAGGAAGGTTGCAGTCACTGTCATATGTACTTAATTTTCCATTTCTCTTAGAAGGGATTCAGCCTGTGGTTATGTGATAGTAAATTATGGGGGCTTCATTTATTAAGAGTTTTCTACAAAATCCCCTTCACATACAGAGCATGTTCTTAATTGGGCGGGGGCTGGGGGGTTAGGGGATTGCCTCGATGGCCTTGGTTTGCTTACCCAGTGAAGGCTGCTCCTTAGGGTCTGGAGGTGGATGGTTGTGCTGTTTGCCGGGAGGGTGATGGAAGGGTCTCTGAGCAGCTGTGTTTGAGCAGAAGCCCCGAGAACCCGCCCCGTTTGTGCCTGCCAGGCCCGAGGCCCCGCCCACCTCAGGCCCAGCCCTGGCCGGGGCTCAGCAGCCACTTGGCCTGGCCGCTAATGGCTGAGCAGAGATGCTTCTGTGGCTTTGCCAAATTTCTGAGCCCTTACGTGCCTACATTAAAATTCTAAATTATTTATCTCGTCTACCATACAACAAATTCATTCTTTAACGTTTTGACTGAAGAAAAATTACAGACGGAGCTT